CTAAAAATGGAGAAACATTTATGTGTGATTTTTTGATGATTTTGTGTGATTATGTGATTTGTCATTATGTGATTTTCTTAATTGGGAAGGTATTACTAGCCTTTCCCATCCTTGCTCACTAATTCCCTCATTTTACCCTTCTTCCCCTCACCCAAAAAAAGTGTTTTGAGTCTTTGTTTTTCAGGAAGTGAGCTGCAGAGTTACTGCAAAATCTAACACTTTTGTGGAATAGTAAAGCAGTTATCACAGATGGTAAACGATTAGCGCATTTTCTATGTGCGTGATTCCTTCCTCTTCGCAGACCTCTCAAACTAAGCGATTTATCAGAAGTTAACAAAAAAGTAAGGTTCTTGCAAGCTCAGGTTAGCAGCCGAATTCCTGAAAAGAAAAAACTTACACCTTGCCACACAATGAGCGAACGGGCGGTCTTCGAACGTCGCGACCTCCTGATCTACTCTCTTCACGTGGTCCGGACACTGTTGAGCTGAGTTCGTTCGGCTGTGCCACCGCAGAGACGTACTCGGCATTACTTGGACTAGATGGGGCTGGAATCGTAGGAATTGCAGAGGAACTTTACCATTTGCGTACGGATAATTCGTGCAAACAAGCAAAAATTCAGCTTTTGTAAGTTCTGAGCAATCGCCTTGAAATTTGCAAAAATGGAGGGTGAATTTTGAGTGAAATCCTGCCGCACACTGCCTTTGGAATTCGACGAAAGAAATATTGATGACCACATTTAGATCCTATGGGTTTCAATTCTTACGGGAAGATTTGCCAAGTCAGAATGGGAACATGATTTGGACGTTTTATTTGTCTATGTTCGAACAAAAAAAAACTCACCTTGAATTTGTTGGGCGGTGTTCCCGGATATGCTTGGTACAGAAACCATTGTATGCGAACATGGTGTGCAGCTAATGACAATTTCTTCTTCTCCAACGTAAGCTTCATTGGCATTCGCCCTGCAAATGAGAAAAAAATGATTTAATCTAATTTCTATTGACCAGACACTGATATTAATGTAGTGCCGTGGCGGTTTTAAAGACAGCGTTCGGGGGGAGGGGGAGCGGCATGAATTTCATGAGTAAAGTGGAGCTACTTAGCCATTATTTCCGAATACTTTTTTCGGCATGTTTCCGAAGTTTTTATGAGGCAGAACCCCGAAATTTCGAAAAATAGGCATGGCCACACTCCCGCTACGGAAAAAAATTTTTTTTACAAGATCAATTCGATTATTTTTCAAAAAATGGAGGCCAGTCTGCCATCGTTGTAGTAATGGGCAAGTTTAAGACGATGTAAAGAACTATGCCATTGAATCAAAGGAGATCTCACTTGCTTCGTCCCAATCCCTTCGTTTCCACGCATTCTGCAATGCAAGAAATTTTGTACTGTATAGTGCTCAAAAAGGCTTAGATACCTCGACACTGGCAGATAGGATTCGCGGTGCTTGCATCCGAGAAGGGGTCAAATGAATCGCAGGTAAGGCTAAAGAATTGATATGCAGCGCGAGTTATGTCTATTTAAGGAGTTCTACCATTCCGAATCATAGGAAAGAGACGCTCTGTCAATTCGTGTGCATTTAAGTCCAAGAATATTT